GGCATCTTAATGGAACCTCCCAGCACGATCTTTGGTATCTTAAAGCTAGCGCATGTAGCTTAGTAGGTTTTTCCAATTCTGAATTTACAGGGTGCAAGTCAGATAGGAAAAGCACTATTGATATATTTCACTTATTTAGAAGATATTTAATTTCTTGTCACATTAAGAAGTATCTTAGTGTTTCTCTTTCTACTGTCGAGGCTGAACACGTAGTCGTTGGTAGTTGTTGTCACTACTATGGAAAACACATATAATAACAGTTGTAAAACACATATAATGATGGTAACATGTCTGTTTTTAGGTAGCATGTCATTGTATGTATGTTGGTTACCACAACATGTGTGTGATTATTTTTATAAATTAGATAGCACACTAGTTATAACTACGGTTGTAGGAAATAATCATTGTGAAATATTATTTCTGAATAATCCTCAATCGTATCATACTAGAAACAACAATACACCGAATTGTGAATTGAATATCAAAACTTGTATTACATCAATGACATAATTCACATCATTAAATCAAATCATTCAACAACTCGAGAAAAAGAAATTTGAAAAGACAAATATATATTTCCAACTTCCAAAAGAATAAAACATAGAGAATTAAAGAAGAAATAATAAGTAAACCTGACATGCATGAAATCTTTTGGCTTTTAGATTTTCAAGATCAGAGAAGAGTAAGAGGAAGAATCATCAAACTAATATAAATAGGAATTCCTCTTTGAACCAAAACACAAAAAAGAACTTCATCCAAAGAAATCAAAGAAGATGAAGAATCAAAATGAGTACTTTTGTTGTTGTAGAGGTCTAAGAAGCCACTGATTGAACAAAAGAGGTACAAAAGTATACTGAGAGAAAAAAGTTACTATTGTTATAGAGGTCCAAGTCGTTGCAAGGGGCCCTACTATCGAACCTTTAAGGCACGTGAGAGCTTCCAGGAAGAGGAGATCAATAAAAAGACGGCTGAAAAGGCTAGTCATCATCGATTCTAATGATGCTGAAGTAGATTGGAAACGGTCAAACTTTATCTCAGCCAGAGGATTTAGATATGATCAATAAAAAAATCACTGGCCTTTTTGTAATCTACTGATCTAAGGTTATATGCTACACATACTATTAGTTTCAAGTGATTTAAGAACTACTTTCTCATACACACAATCTAAGGTTATATGCTACACACTGCATACTATGGCTATATGCTACAAACTACATATTATGGTTATAAGCTATAAAATCTGAATAAAACCAAAACACGATTGCAACAAAACAAAAATAAAGGAAATTTGAATGGCACACTAATGCTTCAAACACAAAATATAAAGCATATGCATATCCAACACAAAAATCTAAAGCATGAACATTCATAAGTCATTGATACATGAAAGAAACCCTAAACATTTATAAGTGTCAGAGAGAGCTACTGGTAACGTACCATAAATGATATTCGAAGAGGATGGTGAAAATTTCGTTTCCAAAAATGATGTTCGAAGAGGATGGTAAAAATATCGATGTCGTCTTGTTCACTAGGACACCCCATGTATGTTATGAAAGAAATAAAGTACCTGATATGTTTTAGTATTGTGGAAAAGAATTTCACGACGGTTGTAAGCTTCAACTATCGTGATATATGAAACTTATTACCACGGTTGAATATAACAGTCGTAGTTGTAATACTTTCAATTTTTAAATAAAAAAGTTATGGGACACACGCTTATTTTTACTGTAAAAATCAAAAAATGTTGAGGCTGAGATTCGAACCTTGTCACCTGAAATATATAACAACGGTTCTTTAGAGGGTCCGTGAGATAAAAACATAAGCTTAAAAAATGTATATGACTATAGTGGATTAATGGTCATGGTAATATTGTGTTACCGAAGGTATTTTCCGTAGTAGTGTGTGCACGAGACTTATGGTTAAAGTAACAATTGCTAGATTATGATTTAAAACTTGGTTACATTTTGATTAAGTGTGATAGTACTAGTGCGATAAGCCTCACTAAGAATCTAGTACTCCATTCAAGAACTAAACACGTTGATATCCAAAACCATTTTCTTAGAGATCGTGTTGAAAAAGGGGGTTTTATTTTTGAATACGTTGACACTAAAAGTCAGCTTGCTGACATTTTTACAAAACCATTGTCATTGGAACCTTTTCACAAGATCTGTAGAGATTTTGGAATCTTAGATTCCTTTTGCTATAAATATAATGAGAATTTTGTTTAGTTTAATTTTTTATGTATATTTTGTTTTCACTAACACTATTTTTTAGAAAATCATACTATTTCTTACTACATTGTTGTGTCTCTATAACTCTAGTACCTGGATTTATAACATTGTGTGCATTTGTTCTGCATATGTTTGTTGGTTTCTTATTACCTTCTTTATTTTACTCATTCACAACTAGCATGTTTGATTGCTCTTCTTGCATTTAATTCTTTTTAAATGTGTGTTGTTAATTATGTGCGTTTGAGCATTTGTATACGTGTCCATGCATTATCTAATCTTCCTTTACATAATAAGTTTTGATCACTTAATTTTATGTTATTGAATGTTAGTGTTACATGTTCGTTTGAATATTTTCTTTTTGTATATTATTCTTAGCCTTTTGTCTCATGTGTTCATCTAGGATTATTTTTTTGTGGTTGGTTATTTGGTTTGTATACTCATTTCGATCTATTTGTTTATGATTATGTCAAAGGGGGAGAAGTTGTCATATGAGTCTATATTTGTTTTATGTGTTTTATGTTGTGTTGTTTGTGTGCAATGTTTCAGGAGGAGCATAAGTGTTTTAGCTTTTGGCTCAAAGTTGACTCAATTCAAAGTGAAAGCTTGCCAAGCATCAAAAAGGGGGGAACTGAAGTTGCATGTTCCTAACACATTCAGGGGAAAACCCAAATACAATTTTTTGTTGCTTGTCTTATCGCTTTTTTGTTTTGTTTATTATTGTTTATTGAGTCTCCTTCATAATTTCACATCTCTGAAACAAGTTAGAATCGATTCATTTTTAATCATGCTTCAACCAATTGTTATGTTTGATATTTGATCATTATGATTAAAGTCAATTTCTTGAGTTAATTAAACAAGAACCATAGGTGATATCAATTCAAGTCATGTGGGAAATGGAATCTCATACTATTTTGAAAAACTTGAAAAATTTAGATTTCTAGTGTGTGACTCAAGTTGCTCACAATCCATTACTCGAATTGAACCAAACAGAGAAGAACAAGAAAAATTTTATGTTTGTGATTCGAATCACATTTTATACCTAACTTGAATCATGCAACTTTGTGACTCGAATCACAAGTTGTACGTGACATGAATCACATACTTCCTGGAAGCCACTAACTTGTTTGATTCAAATCAGGCTTAACACATTACTCGAATCATGAACATGCGTGACTTGAGTCACAACTTTAACCTGACTCGAATCACAAGAAAATGGGTCATTTTTCTTCATGAGACCTTGTTTCACACTAATTGCTAATTTGACTCAAATCATGAAATGCTCTCGACTTAAATCTAACTAACTATTTCCTTCCATTTTTGTGTTTAATCTCAAGCACATATAAAATATTTTTGTCATCATTTTTAACACACAACTTTTACAACCTTGAAACATTTTCGTAATCTACATTGTGATTTTGTAAAATCAACACCCTCTAACTTTTGAAAGTTAAAAAACTCTTGTAAACAAAACTCTTTCTTCTTCAACCTCTAGTTTTGATTTCAGCTCTTGATAATGAGAGATTTATAATTGATTGAGGGAGACGTGATCTTGAAACTAGTCGCTCTTGAATATTAGGTTGATAAATTCCAGTGAAAAAAAAAGGTTTTCTCTCCAGGTGATCTTGGTAGTGACTGTGCGGAAGGCTAGGGACAAGGTGGAGTTCTTTTCAAATCTTCATATAGTTCAGCGCTCAAGAAATTGGTGGCGTAAAGGAGTGATCACCTCACAGATAGACTGTGAGCAGATTGGTTATACTGGAAGATTCAAGAAGCGTGAATTGAGTAAAGATTACGCAGAAGAGTTGGACATTACAATGTATACAAGTCAAGATACATATAGAAGGTTTATTTTTCTCAGTATTATTGATGATTAGTGATTGTATGAACTCTTGCAATATTGTTCAAAATAAAAAGAAACAAAGCAGGTTCTAATGGGAAACCATTAAAGAGTGGAGTAGGCAAAGTGAGGATAAACGTAAATCAAGTTAATATCCCAATGTACTCTCTCACACACTTTTGCATTTAATTTTTTGTAGGATACTGCATGCTTAGGTTTCCAATATTAGCACAGTTTTTCATTTATTTAATTGGTAGCGATTTACTACGTAAGGTTGGGTTTTGTTAGAATTGCTACCTAATCGAGCTTTAGGGGTGATTAAATTTTGAGAAACAATTGAGATTAGAATTCATTGATATTGAATAATTGTATAAACACACCTCTAGAATATACAAATGAGCCAATTGATTACATGTTGTGTATCATCATAAAATCATCTTTCATATTTGCAAATTGATTACGTGTTAACGTGATCAAGTTCCAACAAAAGTATAATCTTCACATTTTGGATTTAAAACTTTCACGCGTAAAAAAAATCTTATAATAGTTTTTTAAAGGTTTTATTCACTCCCCCCACCCCCCACCTTAAATTCCATGTAAAATGGGAATTGGGAGACAAGGAATGAGGAGTAATTTGAACATAATGTAAAGTATTACAATTGGAGTAAATAGACATTAAACAAGTAGGAGAACTTTATAATAGTTTTTTAAAGGTTTTATTCACTCCCCCCACCCCCCACCTTAAATTCCATGTAAAATGGGAATTGGGAGACAAGGAATGAGGAGTAATTTGAACATAATGTAAAGTATTACAATTGGAGTAAATAGACATTAAACAAGTAGGAGAACTTTGGCTTGATAGTTTGAGTGGCAGCCTTGACAAAGCATACAATACATCACTACCTATAGAGCCTTCTAGCAATATTCGATTATTATCCTGAGATTTCACAAAACATTTGTCTAGGTGAAATTAAAAATAAATAGTTATCTTTAGCAAATTTTCTAACAGTAATGAGATTTTTTGCGATAGATGACACTAGTAAGAGTTTTTCAAGAATAAATGAAGTGTTGGAATTAGAGGGAGAAAGAAAAGTAGAGGAACCAGAAGAGATAATAGTCAAACCTTGTCTCTTTCCTATAAAGATCTGTTTAGGAACTTCAAAAGGAGCACATTGTTGGAAGTTTTTAGAGTTATTAGAGATAGGATAGGAAGCTCCTGAGTTTGGGAACCAGGAGCTATTAGCTGAGGGATTGGAGCTGGTAAGCATAGCATTAGGTGGAGGATAAGATGATGGTGGGGAGAGTTGTATGTAATGAGGAGGGTAGGATGGTGGTGGTCTAGGATGCATGTTAGGTCGAGGTGTTCCATAGGAAAAACCATTAGGTGTATATGAGTTATTATAAGCATTTTGAAAAACTGGATATCCAATAAACTCGTAAGGAATAGGTGCATAAAAGTGTTGAACGAACTTGTAATAAAAATTAGTGGCAATATGTCCAAATTTGAAACAGACTTGACATTTCACATTACCATGGCAACCACATCCACTACCACCATGATAGCTTATACAACCACCTCTTCCAAAACCATAGCTAGACAGTGAAGAAGTGGGAGTTAAGTAATAAAGATACATGTGTAGATGCATTCAAATCAGGCGTATCAGAGGAATGATCTTGAATGGGTTTTGATTGAGTGAGATTGATTGAAGCATTATCAACAATTGAGATCTTGTTGAACCTCAAAGAATGCAATTCATGAGCAAGCAGTAGAGGCTCTATTTCCTCAAATTGAATAGACACAAATTTTCTCTCTTTGACTAAATTAACTGGTCCATATTCCTGAGGCAAACCTTCAAGCACAACATTAATATGATGTTGCAAAGGAATCATATCTCCTACAGACGTGAGCTCATCAATTAGAGTCTTTATAGATAGCAAATAGACTTTCATTGATGAAAAATCAAGAACTATGACGTGAAGCTCATATCTCAATTGATGAGCCCTTGCACGAGTGAGTTTTTGAAATTGAGCGTGATCTCTCTCATACATCCAAGAATGCGAGACACGAATGATTCAGATAACGTCGATTGCAACAAGGATAAAAATCACTGATTTTGACGAAGCCATACGCGATACTCAAGGTTTTCAATTTGAACCGTAGAGTTAGAGTTTTGAATAAATTAAGAAGGAATTGTAGGCAAGTAGATGAAATCTTGAAGATTGTAAGCATTGGCGATTGACTCGACTTGTTGGTGTCAAATCTAAAAATTATTATCATTGAGTTTTTTTTTAGAGATCTTGAGTTGGAACTTAATGTGAAGTAAGTCACCATCAAAGGGAGGAACTAGAGTCACTGAAGTATGTAGTGGTGGTGATAGTGGTGGAGGTGAAGTAGAAGAATGAATTTCAATTTCAACCATCATATATCGAACTAGGGCTCTGCGATATCTTATAGAAGTAAAAATAAATTAAGAGAAAAAAGATAAATTTTATTTGTTGAAGTGGAATTTTACACTTATTATTCAGTTACGATACAGTAACATGTATTTATAAACTACATCAATTATTTTTATTTGGCACTTACAATAACTAGCATGCGATTAACATTCTTAGGCAGTTGCAACCGTTGGGAGTTCATTGATACCTAACTTACATGAAAACCATATGCTAATTTACACAAAAACAATAAGCTAACTTATCTAACAAAAAGAGATTAATGATTTCTTTTGCTTCCACTTTAGTTTTGTTGTTTAGATGTAACGTATTTATAATGCCATTGTTTCTTTTTGTTTCTCTCTTATAGCTCATTAACGACATATGTTATATTATGTTTAAAATTAGTTATATAAAATAAAAAGAAATTATATCTATAATTGAGTTTTAGAAATATTATTTATATATATATATATATATATATATATATATATATATATATATATATATATATATATATATATATATATATATATATATATATATATATATATATATATATATATATATATATATATATATATATATATATATATATATATATATATATATATATATATATATATATATATATATATATATATATATATGGTTAAAAATTAATTTAAAAATAAAAATTACAAATTTTAGCATCAAATTATAGTTATCTTTGAACTCAAAATCAATATTTCCTTTAAAATGAAAACAAATATACATACATTTATATGTTAACTAGTTAGAGACTTCATACAGGTTGCTTTGGATTTATCAAATGAAATTATAATAAAGAGTAACTTTTTAAATTAATATATTACAATATTATTTCATCAAATATTCTTTTTCTATCTTCAAATAATTGTGTAAGGAGCCAAATATGTTATTCAATTAAAAAAATAAATTTATACCTAATTCTAAACTCCTCTGTTTCTATTTATAAATTCCTTTAAAGAAATTTTTAATTTATAAAATAAGTTTTTATACAATTTATTATGTGCATTTATTTTTATTTATTTGAACATATTTTTATTTTTACTATTAATTTGTTTTTAAAATTTAAAGTTACATATATTAACCTACAAAAAGTTTTTTTTATAGATCAAAATGCAAAATTGACACATAAAATTATATGACTAGTTTTCTTAATATATGGGAAAAAAATAAATGGTGCTAATAATAAGAGACAAAAAGAATACAACTACATTTTAAAGAGTGTTTTATTTCAAGTTTACAAAATCATTTCTGGAATTACAATATAATGACCATAAAATATTTAAACCCCATTTGTCACCTAATTTATGTGTGCATGTGCGTGGTTCAATGATAAATCATTTGAATTTTGAAAGTGTGTACCTCTCAAGGTCGCACTTATTAAAAAAATTAATAATTATAAGATATTTGTTAAAATTGAAAGAAAAAAATATTTATAAATGTATAGATTTCTAGAAATTTGAATAACTTTTATAATTCTCCGAGAATAAGAGTATATTTTTTTATAAAATTTTATAGACTTTTATATACAAAATTATGACTCTTTATTATTTAAAATAATATCTAATTATGTGTAAAAAAAACTTATTTTTAATTATTTGGGAATCAAATTTTTATCTTTTAAATATGTTATTTCTAGGAATAATTTCTGAATGTGAAACAAAACCGCTCAAGATTAAGGTTTTTATAATGGCTTTAACTTAAATTTAATAATTAAAATCATGAGATAACAATGATGAAAGCGTCAACATGTAAACAATAAAGCAATGCAAAATTGATTACATGAACTTTCAAGTTGCATGCCTAAAGAAGGAAATTAAAAACTACAAGCAATGATCGAGAGGATATGCTAATAATGGGTGGACAGTGCTTTTCGCATTTGGTATACAGTTGCTTGCTGTGAGTGGGGTGGGGGTTGTAAGGCAAAAGAAAAGATCATGAGAATAGGAATGATAATGGATATCTATATTACGGGTATTAATTTTCTACTATATGTTATGTTTAATAAATATGATATTTTTACTCGTTTAATATTCGTGTTGATATCCGTTAAATAAATATTCGCAGTTTTTAAAATATTTGTGGATATTTATGAGTATTTTTAGATATTATTATTTTAATATATTTTAAAAATATATAATTAAATAATTAATTTTTTTATCACTTTTAAAGAAGAAAAAATTATTTTTAAATTTAACACTTAATAAATAATAAAAAAAATAAATCACATTTTTTTTCTTTTATTAAAATAATAATAATAATAATATTAATAATATATTTAACAAAATAATAACAATTATAATAATAATAGTAATAGTAATAATGATTTTTTATCAAATAAATTAATATTTAAGTATTTCTTGTCAACTATTAACGGATACTAATACTCGTGGGTACGGATACCATCAAATTCATATTTGTATCCGTAAATAAACAGGTAATTAAATATCTATTTATTTTATTTGTGGATATCCATTAAATCATCGTATTCGTGTCCATGACAGATTTTATCTCTGAGTATTCATAAGTACGGATTTTTTTTACCATCTCTTCGTGAGAAGCTTCTCATTTATTATTTAGCTTTTTCATTTCTACTGACAATCTATCTAACTCACCATCATCACGAGTTTCTTGTCAACAAGATCAACAGTTAACGGGATTTTGCAAGTGTAAAAGATGAGAATTTGATCACTGCTCACATGCCAAATCATTGAGGGCGTCCAGTTTATTTTGAATTTTCAATTGTAATTTCTTTTGTTTGTTCGAACAATTATCTATTATGTTAAATTTTATTTCATTAATGCATTGCATATGTTTATCTTGAATTAATCAATTTGTTTTCACTATATTTAAACTGTGCTTTTATTCCCTTTTTGTGATATTCAACTCTCGTGAAAAGTTGTAAGTCTTTAGAGGGAGGATGACGAAAACAATACCATAATCCATACAGTATGCTTTTGGACAAACATTGTTGACGATGTACAGATGTTCTTTCAATTCTTAAACAGTGGAGTTATAAGGAACATAATCCCTAGTCAACCCCCATTGAGCCAAAGAAGTAGGAGTTTTCATTTTCGCATAAATTGAAATCTTTAATCATAACTTGGAGCAGGGTAGTTTCTCATTTAATTCAAATGCGCGTTCAGTCGCAAGCTTTCACTTCGTACACAACGAATGGCATCAAAAAACATCTTTCTAAATCAAAAGATGGTGTTGGTTCCCCATAAAATAGGCAGTCATTATCTCTCAAAAAGAAAAGTCCACTATGTCCAAACCTATAAAGGAGACTGGGGCATCCCATTGGCTGTAATCTCAAAACAAGAGCAGTCGGGAAAAAATTAGGGATAGTAGATAAAAAAAGAGGTCGTTACAAATCCTCAACAACAGAAAAATGTTGCAAAATTGACTGCCTTCTCAAATAAACTTTCAGTATCCGAACCATCACCAAAATATCATTCCAAACTCTATTGGAACCAAAATGCATAATTAATTGAACATAGGACTGAAGAACATCATGGAGAACAGGTTGGATGCAAATAAACTTTGAGCCTTATCCTTTGTTTCTTAAATTGTGAACCAAGCCACGTTGCAACCCTTTAAAAGTCCTAATTGAAGCATAGGTTAGTTCGAAAGCATACTGTTACAAAAGGTATCCTGACTCCTGTAAGGCTTACTGTAAATCCTGAGTCGAATTCATATTCTTACAAAATTCTTTTATCTGCTAAAAATGCATTTTCAAAAATTCAAGACAAACATAAACTTTGCATTATTTGAATACCACTGTTTGCATATAGCTAATTGTTTGACAACAGAGAAATTCACACGGCGAATATTCAATGAACGAAAATTCTCTCAAGAAACAGAATCACTTCAAATGGGAAGACACTTACAATGAAAAATATCCCATAAACAAGGGGGCATGATAGGTTATTGTCCAACTCATCAATGGCAGTCAAGTCAAGTTTCCAAGAAATCTCTCATAAAGTCATGAATAGCCAGTGGCAGGTCTCCATATGAATCACTTGGGGCGTTGAACTTGAATTCCAGCAAAGGGTCACGTACGACCAAGCAAACATTTTCTGGCATTTCTGCAACACTCGCCATCATACAGTGACAACTCTCCACGCAGACATAGTCAGAAAATACTACGCATAAAATAGACCCCCTAGGTTGGCACGCCTAGGCA